GACTAGGGCACGCCCTGGGCCAAGCAGGGCAGGGTGCTGGGCTGAGGGTTTGGGGTGGGGTTGGGGGGGGTTGCATCTGGGAGGGACGAGGCTGACAGCATGCACATAAATAAGCAGGTGCTTTCAGGAGCTGACCCAGGGCATGGAGTGAGGGGGGCCGAGGGCCTGCAGATGGTCTGTGATCGGGTCACAGGAAAGAGCCACCCACACGGAGTCAGGATCGGTGGGGTAAATGGGGAGTACAAAGACCGTCAAGCATAGAGTCCATGGAATAAACAGAAAAGCAGAGGGGAGGCTGAAGGGGGGGTATGTAACAGGGATTTCAAGTCTTCGGGGCCCAGGAGCTAGGCTTTTTTAAGATTTCAGAGGTGGGGCACCTGGGGGGCTCGGTCAGTGAAGTGTCTGCCTTTGGCTCAGGTCATGATCCCGGGGTCCTGGGATCGAGACCCCCGTCGGGCTCCCTGCTCAGCGGGGAGCCTGCTTCTCCCGATCCCTCTGCCCACTTGACTCCTGCTTTCTTTCTCGGGTTTTATCTCTTTAAATAAATAAATAAATATTTTTTTAAAAAGAAGAAAGGGATTTAAGCTGGTCAGTGACATAATCTGATATACATTTTCAAAATAGGATTGTGGGGAAAGCGGTTCAATCTTTTATATGTTCTGTGTTTTAAAAAAAATCTATTTATTAATGAAAAACATAGGATCTAAATCAATTGTATCACAACCCCACCAAAATTATGGGACTCTCCCAACAAGATAGTTTTTTTTCCTTATTCACACCCAAGTAGTCTTGAGGTGGGAAGCCCAGGGAAGACCTGTACACCAAGCACTGGGGACACAGGCTCCTTCTTTAGCTCTGCTATGTGAGACTCTCAGGCCCAAGGTCCCCTCGTGGGCCGGTGTGGCTGCTGGAGCTCTGGCCATTACTTCTGTATTCCACTCAGCAGACAGAAGGAAGTAATAAGGAATGGCACACCCTCTCCGTTTCAGGTCCCTTACCTGATGTTGCATGTCCCCTTCCATTGCCAGAACCTAGCCACACGGCACCTCTAGCTGCAGGAGAGCCGGGAATCGAAGCTTCTCTTCTGGGAAACCATTTGCCGAGCTAAAAATCAGCAGTCTGTGGTAGAGGGGAAGGGAAGAACCATCGGGGTGGGGGGTAACCACGGATCCTGCCCCCTTTGCCCTGGCTGCCCAGGACAAGGGGTTTGTTGGATACAGATGCCCAGAGACGACAAGTGAAGTCATTCCCACCCTGCTTTCAGGAGGGGTCATGGCTTCAGGAGGAAGCCACCTGTCACTGCTCTCTCCACTGTACCGGATGGGTCCCTCCAGGCCAGCCAGCCTGCCACCCACTAACTCTGTTGGCTATGTGACATTCCCAAACACGGACGGCCGTAACTTGCTGTCTCCTTCATGGTGGACACTCTCTTTATTTCTGGGGTTTAGAGTCCTCTAGGGCTCACTGCATCTTACTGGGTAGCCTCGGTGGGTCACATCTCTCGGGGGGACTGTGGGAGGCAGTGCAGACACCTGCGTGTGTGCCCACATCACACTACCTGACCCGTTACCATCCCTGCCAGGGCATGCCTATGTGACCTTGGCACACGCCTCTCCTGTCTTTAAAGTGGGTGTGATGGCACAGAAGCTCCTTACCAGCCTGGCCTCCTTCCTCTGACCTTCTGGACATGGAGTGGCCACTCCCGCCTCCTGGCTCTGACCCCCCATCCAGTGGGAGCTGTGGTCCCTGCAAGGTACTGACAAAGGTACAGAGCCTGGGCCCACCCGCTGCCATGTCACAGTCCCGCCAGGTGGGCAACGGACCACTGGCTTCCGGGGTGTGCCGGGTGCTGTGGCTCTCCCTGGCAGTAGGCATGTGAGGGCTGGCCTGGGCCCTGGTGGCAACCGGAGCTGCTGCTGGCCGCAAAGCCCGCATCCTGGGGCAGGACGGAGCACAGGTTCACTCAGCTGGGTCGCATGGGGCGTGCCATGCCACCCCTCCCCCAATGGCCCCTTCCTGCAGAAAATGGAAACACCACCTGCAGGGTCCATGCCTCTTAGAGACAGAGGGGCCAGAGAGCCTGAGACTTCCTAAGACTCCTGTTCAGGAAACATGGCCTGTCTGCACGCACATCCTCCCGGGCCCCAGAGTGACGCACTGTGCTCTCCCCATGGTAATGTGGGGACACAGCTCTGGGAGTGGCCAGGGGCGGGGGGGCAAGACCGGGGTCCCTCCTCACCAGGAGGGATGTTGCTCTGGTGGCCTGGGCTCTGCCCAGCTGAGTCTCACCGCTGGGGCCTGCCCCAGGTAACAGAGGGCTACAGAAGCTCCACAGTCCCTACATGCTGGACACTGGCCTTGGTGTCAAATGGGCTGGGACCCTTCATCTTCACAGCATCCCCGTTTGTCAGACAGAAGCATGTCCCCAGCCACACAGCTCCATGGAGACGCTGTGTGCAGGTGCGTCTGAAGGTGTGGGCTGCCTGGGCGCCTCAGGGTCTCTCTGTGGGAGTCTGGCCAGCTCACCCCTTGCCCGGCCCACGCCCTCTGCGGGGACACACCCCATCATCACTCATCCACGGACCCACAGCTCTGTTCAGCATCCCGAACCCACCTTGGCTGCTCCTGTTTGTCTCTGCAGGAGGATCTGAAACCCTTTACGTCTGTGCTGGGAACAGTCTGGGAAACTCACAGCACCCAGGCCAGCAAGGATGACACAACAGAGCCTGGAAGTCCCTGCCTGGGGATTCTCAAGGGAGGCAGGCCTGGAGGGCGGGCCCCAGCTGGGGAGGGCTGGCTGTGATTCTGATCCCAGGAAGGTGAACTGTGGGGGGCCACAAACCCAGGTGTAAAGGCTGAATTGTGACACCAGAATCCTTCCCGACTTCCTCCTTGGGGATGGAGCAAACGGTGAACCTCAGCTCTGAGCCGCTCTGGGGCCCACAGGAGAAGCCCAGTGCCACCCAGCCTTCCGCCTGCAGCCCCCACACGGCCCAGCAAGACCCTCTCACCTGCTGAGGGGGTGCCCTCCTCTCTCTCCTCCGTCCCCCCAGCCTCCCCTGCACCCTCAGGACCCTCTCTCCTGGCTGCCCTGTCTCGGGCCCCTATAGTAGCCAGTTCTGCCCCCTTCTGTGTGAAAGGCGCTAACATTTAAAAATCGGGGTTTCCAGCTGTGTGTCAGCAGTCAGGTATGGGTGCTGTGCCCAGACCTGCCCTGCCCCCACGGCACTGTGGAGTCTCCGCTCACAGCCCCTGGAGCAGGACAGAGGGAGAGACGGAGGTACTGACCACGTCTCCAAGCTTCAGTTCCTTCAGCCTCCAGCTGGGCCGGGGGAAGCTCCTTCAGAGACCAGCACCCTCTGGGACAGCTGCCCGCACGCGGTGCCGCCACCCAGTGGGCGCTGCCGCTCCCCACACCAGGGAGGAGAGAAAGGTCTCCAGGAGGGCCCAGACCCGGTTTAGTGGAAGATCCCTTTTCTGCCCCTGGGTGACTTGCATTTTCCATGCCTTCGGTTTCACTTATAAAACTGCTCTCCCAGCAGGGGTGAGGCGCCCGGTGGGGGAGGGGCGGTCTCAGCCTGGAGTGTGGCCAGGACCCTGAACAAGGCAGGCCCTGGGTCCCCACCCCCACAGTGCTCACTTGCTGGCCAGGTAGATCTGGGGGAGCAACTGGTCTGCTGTTTGGATGGCCCACAACTGTCCCAGGGGTTCTGAGCTTGTCCTCCTGGGCCTCTCCCCAGCTGCGCCTCAGTTTCCTCCCTCGCCAGGTGATGGGGGAGAGCCCACTTCCCAAGGCTGTCAAACAGTAATGTCCCTGTCCCCAGGCAGGGCTGCCACACAAGCTGGGCTCCAGCTGCAGCCCCCTCGGTCCGGAAGAGGGCCTGGCTTACAGTAGGCATCCCATGATGGTCAGGGTGAACGGGCAAACCTTCAGCCCTACCGCCTAATTTGCTCTGCCTGACCTGGGGCACTGCTGCTGACCTCTGATGCCAGTTTATGTGGAGGGGGAAAGATCAGCCCGCAGGGCCTAAGAAGACCACTCCCCTTCAGGGGAGCCGAAATCGAGAAGTCCAGCCACCTGCCCCAGCCCACACAGCTACCATGGCTCAGGGTTATAGAGTCCCTGCAACCTGGCCCTGCTGGGCCGTGAGAGGAACCATGACATGCCCCAGGGCCGCCCGTGGCCGTGCGCGCTGCACACTAGCGGTACCCAGGTGGACACATCAGTAGACACTGTGGCAGAAGTGGGAAGGGTAAAAAACAGCTGGGCCTGGCCGGAGGTCAGGACCGGAGGACACAGTGGCGCGATCTTCGCAAACCACCGCCGGGAGGTAACGCCCGGCCCCTCCCGCCCCAGCGGCCCCCGCCTGGCTCCGGATGTCTGGGAGCGGCCCGCGTCTTGCCGCGCGCCGTGGGAAACAGAGCCTAACTCAGCGGAGGGCTGGGGGAGCCGACGCGTTCTGGACGCCCGCCGCGGCCCGTCGGGGCACCGGGCGCCTCCACAGGCGTCGGGTCCTGCCTCCCGCTAGGGGGCACGGAGGCTGCGCCAACAGGGCGGGGGCCCACACCAAATTGGCCCAACCCGAGGCGACCGCCCTCTGCCTCCCCTCCCCTCCCGGGCGTGCAAGACGCCAAGCTCAGAGGCTGGGGTGCCCAGGGCGCGAGCCGGGCGCCCGGGCTTCGCGGCGCCGGGAGGACACCCATGCAGCGGCAGCGGCGCACTCCCCTTCCTGGCGCGCCCAGAAGTCTGCGAAGTGGCCCTGGAAAGGCTGGCTCCTGGCCTCGTTTCATGGATTAAAAGTGTTCACGACGGCGATAGAGCCGGACGTGCCGCCGCCCGCGCGAGGCCTGGGCCTGGGGAAACCGCGTCGACCCCGCGGTCCTCACCGGGGAAGGAGGTGTCCTGTGGGTCCCGCCCGCCCGTGCCGGGGGCGGAGTCCGGGTCTGTGGGGCGGGCCGGAGGCGGAGTCCGGGGGCGGGCCGGGGGCGGGCGCTCAGCCGGGTCCCCGCGGCCCAGGCGCGAGCGGCTCTCGGGCCCGGAGCGAGGTGGCTCCGGCGGCCGCACCATGGAGTCGGGCCCCGAGGAGTACGAACTCAACGGCGACCTGCGCCCCAGCTCGCCTGGATCCCCGGACGCCTCGGTAAGCCCCGCTCCGCCCGCGCCGCTGTGCGATTTTGGTCGGCGCGCGCCCTCTCTGGGCCCCGCGCCGGCTGCTCCCCGGGCACTTGGGGGCTCCGGCCGGCTGCGCGGCGCTTCCGCACTGCGGGGTGCCGGGACCCCGTGCCTCGTGCAGTCAGTCCGAGCGGTGGCCCCGGGGCTCCGGCCACCCCGGCAGGGGCGAGGGTCCGGCCGGGAGGCGCCCACGCGGAGCCGCGCAGTGGAGGGGCCTGGGCGCCACCTTCCCCCGCCTTCCTCGCCAATCTCTAACTTCGGCCCCCGCATCTCCTCCCGCTGCTGCGCGCCCGGGCGCGCAGGATCCCAGCCTCCGGGCCCCAGGCCAGCAGCGGGCAGACGGTTACGTCACCCGCCGTGTCCACCGCGACTGCACTATCCGCTCCGTGCCCCGGTGGGGAACCTGGGGCGGCTGTGGCCCCCGCTCTTGTCCCCACTGCAGGCCCCCGGGCAGTGGTCCCGCCTTCCACTTGAGAGGCGGTTGCGCCCCTTCGCCCCGGGGTCCTGTCCGGGGGTGTCATGCCCTCTTCCCGGGGCCCAGCATTTCCCCAGAGCCTCTGTTGGTGGTGCAGTCCTGGGCATGGCCCTCTGGTGACTTGTTGACTTTGAGCATTCTTTCACTTTCTGACCCCCTGGGGATGGGGGCAGGGATGCCAGGTCTCTCAGCTGTGTGAACCAGACTGGGGCAGTGCTGCCCGAATGTGGGAGGACACATGGGGTGAGTGAGGCATGGGTGGCAGGGACAGGTCCTCCTGTGTGCAGGTGACCCCACGCAGTAATCCTGTCCATCCTTGCCTGTTCTTGGCAGAAGCTTCCTGGGTTCAGAAGCTTCCTCCGTGCTGACCCTTCAGTAAAGCTTGACAGCCCTCAGGTGGCACAGGATTTGTCCCTGACTTCGTGGTGGGGAAACCCAGGACTGAGGAGGCCCTCATGCAGCCTTGCACTGGCATGTAAGAACTTTGGAGCTGAGGGCTGTGTGTGCCTGGGGAGGCTGGCTCACCTCTCTGGGCCTCTTGTGCACGGTCTGAAAAGAGAAAACAAAATGCCTCTGCCTGCCTTTGGGAAAGTCAGGTAACAAATAGGGCAGGTGGGTTGGAAGGAGGGATCCTGCTCACCTCCCAACCTGTGGCTGTGCCTTCGGCTCCAAGCCTGTTCTGTCCCCCTCGGCTTTGGCCATGCACCTGCAGGCTCCCGTGCATCTTGGGCCCAAGGAAGGTCAGGTGGGGTCACTGTGTTGGCCCTGGGACCAGCCTGGGGAGATGTGGCTCCATTGTCACATTGTCACTGAGCTGCTATCTTAGCTTTGAGATCAGCCCAAATGGAAAGTGCTAAATTCCACCTATGAGAGATTGGTAGTGGAATCAGGAAGGCTTCCTGCACTTGGGGACATTGGCACTGGGTGCTGCAGGGCCGGGGTGGGGGTGGCATGCCGGTCCAGTGTAGTGGTAGGAGGGTGTCTTCATTCACTTTCCTCCAGGAAGGGTGGGCAGCCTCAAGGCCACTGCTCCAGCTGCCTGGGGCCTGGACGCCCTGACACCATCCCCAGCCTCTGCCTTGCCCTTCCCACCTTCAGGACCTGTCTTGTTGTGTTTTTGAGTCAGTGACTCTGTGTCTCAGTTTCTTATCAGTGACCTAGGATGATAGCAGTGTCTTTCTCGGAGAGCATGGTGAGGACCCCATGGGCTAAGCTGTGTGCTAGGCACACAGTCATTACATTACTGTGCGCCGTATAGGACCCACTCCTGAAGAGGACTTTGGGGCAGCACCTTCCACAGCACCCTGTGGAGGGGGTTGAGGGTCAGGTGGGAAGAAAGTCTTGCTGGGGTGAGGGGAAACTCCTGGGGTCTTCAGACTTACCACCCAGAGTGGGAGCACTGGATGGCAAGGTGGATGGTTAGGTTGGTCCTGCATCCCCAGGGCACCCCTGGAGGTGGGGGGACTGACTGGGAGGCCCAGGTCGAGGACCCCTGTCAGTCTCAGGACTCCCACTGTGGGCCACGGTGGGGCAGGTCGCTCACCTTCCAGGGTAACCTGGCTCCCGGAAGAGCCCCACAGCAGATGAACCCCACAGGTGCCCCCCACACACCTGTACCTGTGCCCCCAGGACTTCTCAGAGACCAGGCTGTCCAGCTTCCCTGCAGGAGAGGCTTGTGGCTGGAGGCAGGAGAAATAGTAAACATCAATTTTACTGTGAGGATGGCCCTTGGCTGTGTCATGCCTGCTGTGTTTTGGCATGGAGACATCTGCCTTGGCCCTGCTGTGGACACTGGGGTCACAGCAGGGAGGGAGCCGGACAAGCTGGAATGTGGCTCCTGGGTCACATCTGGGCTGGGCAGAGCTCAGCTTCCCCAGGGGAAGTTCACTCTTTTCCTCACTTCTGCTTTCCCGGCAGATCTCGAGAGCTCTGGCAGGGTCTTGGCCAAGTTCGAAAAGGCCACCCTGATGTGGCCGCAGGGTCACTGCTGGCCAGTGCTGAGCCCACAGGAAGTAGGTCTACCCAGCCTGCAGCCCAGCTGCTGCGGGAAACCCCCCCAACAAGACTTCCTGCCGGGACACTGATGTGGATCCGGAGACCACTTAGGGCAGGCACGTGCCTGGTGGCCTTCACGCCAGCTCTGAGCGGCAGGCTTATGCCCACTCTGCTGGGTCAGGTGATGGACACCGAGGCCCTGCCAGACCCTCCTAGTTCTCAGGTTCCTCCCCAGAGGTCCACTGGTATGTGCTGCGCCCCAGCGGAGGGGCTATGGTGGGCCAGGATCCGGGGTCCTGGGTCCTGCTCAGCTCACACTGCCGTTTCCTCTGCTTATACTTTCTCCTGTTTCAGAGTTTTTGTTACAGATCTGTGTGGCTGTTTTGGGAGGCCGTGTGCCCCTGCTGGCTGTGCTCCTGCAGATGGAGGGGCCTCCGCACCTGCAGTCAGTTCCATCTGCCCATTTTGCAGATGAGGGAACTGAGGCAGAGAACCCGGGTGTGGGATTCAGGGGTGCTAGAGACAGGTGCATGTGGAAGGGCCATGCCAGCTCCTAGCTAGGCAGCTGATGGACATTGTGGATCTGGTGGGGGCCTCTGTCTCTCGTCCTGATAACGCAAAGGTGCCTCTGGGCAGGAGTTCCTGTCCCACTCTTATGTGGGTTTGGGGTCAGTAGCAGGCATGGTTAGAGAGCGTCCATAACCGAAACCCCTGGGTCCTGCGCGGGCTCAGCTGTCATCTCCCAGGGGAGCAGGAGGCTGGGGTGGGCACCCCAGCTCCTTCCATCCAGGCTGCGGCTGGACCGCTGGACTACAGCATCCGTTAAGCTGGGGCAAGAACCCAGTGCTTGCTCGGGTGCACATCTGGGTTCACATATGTTTCAACCCCTCTCCGTCCAAGCTGAGGACGCACAGCACAGTGGCCCTGGGCTAGGTCTTGTGAAGAGCTACCCCAAGGCTTCTGTCCACACAAGGGGGTCCCCCTTGCTCTCCTCTGGCTCTTTACCCACAGGGAGCCTTCCTGGTTTTTAGGGGAACACATCCAGAGCTCACCCAGCTCCTGGGACCACCACCGAGGTTTGGGGAAGGCCCTGGGAACACATTAACCAGGGTGTTTTTTCCCTGCACTACTCAGGTCACAGGCAGAGGCTTCTGGGGGCAGTTCCCAGCGCGGCTCTGGGAAGTCCGTCAGTTCAGGCCAAAGGCTCCAGCCACCTTCCGACCTCACCCTGGTGGGCTTCCCAGGACCGGGGCTTCCCTAGGACTCAGCCATCACCAGGCCCCAGAGTCCCCCTATAGCTCCAAGCCCCTCCTCGGCAGTGGGGCTCTGCCCCGGGCAGCTCCCCTGAACCGCGGCTCCCCGACTCTGTGGAAAGGGAGGTTAGTGCTCCCTCTCCGTTAGTGGGGAACTCTGTGGGCACCAAAGCTTCCTATTGTGGCCTGGGGCCGATTGACGGGGAGACAAGCCAGCCGCGGGGGAGCATGTTGTCAAGGCCGCAGGGCCAGGACTGGGCTCCCGCCGGCGCCCCCATCACTGCACGGGTTCAACAGGAAGCAGATGGTCCTGTGGCAGGAAGTGCCCTGCACCAGGAGGGGCGTGTGTCCCCGGCCCTGGCATGTCCCCCAGGGCTGCGAGGCAGAGGCCAGGCCCACTAGAACCTCGTGGGTTGCGTGCTTCTGGCCCTGTTGCCCACACGGGAGACCGAGGCTCAGAGGGTGCTGTCTGTCCTGAGGTCACACAGCTGGAGCCCAGGGGTGCCTCCGGGTACACAGCCCCCACAGGCCAGCTCTGACCCCAACCCCCTCTGCAGGGGGCTTCTGAGCCCCGGGCCTGCATTCCAAGTGTAGCCCTCACTTGCTCTTGGCTTTGGATGGGTGCTTCCTGCTAGTCTCAGTTTACCCGCAGTGTGTGTGTGTGTGAGGATGGGGCTGGGGGGGGCACCACAGAGGAGGACACCCAGCTGCGCGCGGGGCGGAGGACAGCGGGGACACAGGGCACCGAGTGTCCTGTATTCAAACGTGTGTGTCTATGAAGGACTCAAACGGTTTGGAGGGGATCAAGAGGGAAGGGACTTCCTCCTCCTCCACAGAGGCCAGCACAGTGAGCCTAGACGTGCGTGCGTGCGTGCGTGTACTGGGTACGTACATGTGTGCCTGTGTGTGCCTGTATGTGCTTGCTCGTGCGTGTGTATACGTACAGACACGGTTATGTTTGCTGATACACTGTATTTATGTGCCCGTGCTTGTGTGGGTGTGCGTGCGTGCACCTGGCTGTTTCCTCCAGGCCTGGGGACCAGAATGAGTACTCTGGTGGCCTTGAGGGAAGGCTTGGTGCTTCTGGCTTTGTGTACCTTAGGAGCACATGCCCAGTGCAGGCCAGCACCCTGGACACCCGCCCCACACGGAACGAGGCATGGCCAGCCCTGCAGCTGTGCAGGAGCAGAGCCAGGGACAGCCTCAGGCGGTGGGAGCATTGGCCCCAGGCGCCTGCGCGGGGACCCTATGGAGGAGCAGCCGTGCCCTGATGTCTCTTGATGGGAAGAGGTGAAGTTGAGACCCCCGCGGGACTTGGCTGTGGGTGGAATATTCCAGAAGCAGTGCTGGGGTTTGGGTCCCAGGAGCCGGCTTTCCCTTTTGGGTCTGGAATTTTAAACCCAGTGGATTTGCTGCTTAGCCGCGGTCCTGGGGAAAGGCAGGGCAGGTCCCACAGCCTCTGTTCTGCACGCCCATTCTCCCTTCCTCCTGGGCACGTTATTCTCCATTTCGTTTAACAAGACAGGCAGCTGGAGCGAACCCTGTCCTGCCCCTGCTTCTGGAGTTCAGGATTTTCTGGGGTGAGATTTCCAGATACAGAAAGTAAAGGGGGGCCTCTCACCTGCCGTGTCGGCCCCTCTCAGGGCAGCCTGCCTCCCAGGCCTGCATCTTTTATGACCGTAGAAACACGAGCTCTGAGTGCCCCGGGAGGCTGCAGTGCTGGGCCTGGTGGCTCTGCGACTCCTGTGCATGAGGGGCTGGGGCTGAGGAGTTACGGGGAGGCCTAGTGAGGGAGGAGGGCCTTCTCCTGCCTCCCCCCAGCTGGCACCCCAGGAGAGAGGGGGCTTCCTGGAGGCGGTGACCTCTGGGCGGGGTGTGGAGGGCATGAGGCGTGGCCAGCGGCCTGGCTCATAGGCCTGGCCCTGTTCCCAGGCAGAGGTGCTGGGAAGCCCCGGCAGGAAGTGCCCCGCCCTGCTCCAAGTCCTGGAGGCTCTGTGGGGACAGACCTCAGCACAAATACTGAATAAAAGGCAGGAGGAGGCGTCTAGAGTGGAGGCCCGGGAGCCGCGAGGGTGTCACGTGTGTGCACTCTGAGGTTCCAGGTTGTTCACCTTCGTCGTGCCCAGCTTTTCCTGGGGCGATGGCACCTCAATCAAGTGGTTTAGAATTGTTTGTAAAGATAAAAATTAAAGCAGTAGCAAAGCTCCACTGTAGCCCTGCACTGGTAGATGGCTGGGTGAGCGCTCAGGGCCTGGCACCAACCGCTCATCCCTTCCCGCCCTGGCCTGCGGCCACTAGAGGGCCGGCAGGGGCACCAGGCATGCAGGCAAGGCGCCAGAGGGCCCCACCCAAGGCGGGACGGTGGCCTTCTTGTCTCAAAGTGACTTGTGTGCTGAGCCTCTCCTCTGGGACCTGACTCCCAGGGGTGTCCCGCAGCCCTGTGTGGGCCTCAGATCTGCAGGCCCCATCGAGCCCCACAGCCCTGCCCGTCCCAGGCTGACTGCCCTCTCCCCACAGCCATCCCGCTGGGGCCGGAACCGGCCCATCAACGTGAACCATTACGCCAACAAGAAGAGCGCCGCAGAGAGCATGCTGGACATCGCGCTGCTGATGGCCAACGCTTCCCAGCTGAAGGCTGTCATCGAGCAGGGTCCCAGCTTCGCCTTCTTTGTCCCCCTGGTGGTCCTCATCTCCATCTCCCTCGTGCTGCAGATTGGCGTGGGCGTGCTGCTCATCTTCCTTGGTGTGAGCCTGGGCTGGGGCCCCCATGGGGGTGGGCCCTGGGGCAACCCTGCCCGTGATCAAGTGGTGCTGCTTGCATACCCCCCCGGGACAGGGTGCTCATTACCTGACAGGCCCCACTCAGCCATGCGGTCAGGTTATGGCTCCCCACTGTGGCCCTCAGAGGGTCCCCCATGTCTCTGTCCTTCCACCCACCCAAGCTGAGGATATAGAAAAATGCAGCCCTTCAGCGGTCTCCAGGGAATGGTTGGTGGTCCTGACCCTGAGGTGAGGGTCAGGGCTCACCTCCACTGCTGACTCTGTGACCTGGGGCAGGTACACAGGCCTCAGTTCCCCCATCCATAAGGTGAGCATAAGGACGGGTCCTTGGGGAGACGTGAAGATCGCCAGATACCGCACACGGGCTCTCAGAACGGGGCTTCCCTGAGTGAGCTCAGCACAGTGTGCCTTACAGTCCAGACCTGTCCCCAGGGCTGGTTCCTCTGCTCCCATAGTGTGCCGGGCCACTCCAAGCTCTGTGCTGGCGGAAGCACGGCTGCAGGGCTGAGGCCACAGGCCCAGCTCTCACCCCGCATGAGGCCGCAGCCCCAGGGTTGCAGGGCCGCGGTGCAGTGTCTGCTCCCTTGTGCCCGCAGTCAGGTACGACCTCAACAATCCGGCCAAGCACGCCAAGCTGGACTTCCTCAACAACCTGGCCACCGGCCTGGTTTTCATCATTGTCGTGGTCAATATCTTCATCACGGCCTTTGGTGTCCAGAAGCCTGTGATGGATGTGGCTCCCCGGCAGTAGGGTTCAGGTGAGCAGAAGGGCAGGCTCCCCACTGTCCAGCAAGAGCAGACCTCTGTGCCTGGCGTCTGTCCTGTCTGGACCTCACAGGGTGGGCACTCTTGGCCATGTAGCTCCCATGATCATCCCCTGTCCTTGCTCAGAGAGGTGAGAGCCCACCCACGGTTGCCCTCCTTCGGAGCAGGAGCTGCAGGGAGGCCGGGGAACCCCTGGCCATCTCCAGGGCCAGTGCTGTAGGCACAGCACGTGGCATGTGTCCTGCACCTGGGGCTCTGGCCCGGGCTGCGCACCACAGGTGCATATGGCCTCGAACCTGCCCTCAAGTGAGGGTGGGCGCTGCTAACAGACAGCCCGCCAGCACCCCCCCCCGCACCCCGGCCGAGTGGGCGGGACACTGCCTGAACACCCCACTGCTCCTGCATGGCCGGCAGGTGACGAGGCAGGATCCTGAGCAGGGCCAGCACATGGCCTGGCTGGGAGCGTCTGTTCTGCCCACACCATGGCTGCTGGCCCTACCTGGGGTCCCACTCGCTACTTGGCTGCTGGCCCTGGTTTATTGTCAGGGCTGTCCCCCATAGAACCTTCCAGATGCCAGCCAACTCCTATGCTCGGGACATGGTGACCCAGCAGTTTATTAATGGCCGACTGTGTGCCCCAGACGCAGTCCTGACCCTCCCTGCCCATCAGCCCGCCAGCCTCTGCTATCCACGGCCCCCCTTTAAATCCTGACACTGACCCGAGCAGGGAAACTGAGGCTTGCCCAGATCAGAATTGGGCCCTTCTGCCTCTGGAGTCATAGTGGCCTCAAGGCTCAAGTCTGGTAACCACAGTAGGGTTGGAGGCCCTCACACCCCTCCTCTCCCTTTTTGGCAGATGCCCCCGGATTGCACCCGACCACAGCTACCCAGATCCTGGAGCCGCCTCTCCCTTGAGGCCCACCTCCCTATGGGGGGCACCCCATGGCAACCGCAAGAGCCCAGGCAGGCCCCACTAGACTGTCCTGGGACTAGCCGCCCATGGCTAGGCCACCCCAGGCCAGTGCAGGTCCTGATCTGTCCTCGGCTGCCCGTTCCCCTGGAGCGTGGCCCAGGGGACAAGTGGGGCAGGGTGGTGGTCACCACGGACACACAGCAGCCCAAGGATGTGGGCAAGGGGTCCCAGTCAGCCTTGGACTCAGGACGTTTCTAGAGTGACGAGACCACTGCGTCTGCCAGCGCAACGAGGACTTCGAGGCCCCACGATGGGGACCCTTGGCGTCTGTGCTTTCTGACCTGGGACAGGGGACTGCTGGCCCCCGCTGGCCACGGCCCCTGCACACGCCTTCCACCAGCAGTGACAGGGCAGTGCCCCTGCCCCCCTCAGGGGCCTGAGCCCCCACATTTCTAAACCAACAACCAATAAAGCTGACCCATCTCTTTCCCTTTTGGGCCTGGGCCCTGCATTACATCCCCAGAACCCCCGGCCTGTGAGGGCCACCTGCTGGGCCAACATGGGGCTGCAGTCCCAACCACAGGCGCCTGCTCAGGGACCGAGGGCTTGCGCGGCGCCCGTGCCGGCGCCTGGCCTGTCAGTATGAGTTTGAGGCAGAAACCAGGTTCTTGACGCTCTGGGCCGGCATCTTTTGTTAATGGAGACACACAGGAGAGCCACAGACAGTTCATTCCGTAGCCCCAGGGTGACACCATGCATCCTTGTTTGGTCTGTGAGGCGCAGCCTTGGCCCCCAGCCCTGGAGCTGCTTGGGACCCGGGTTTTCCAGGGCAGCTGTGGCTCCTGGGGACAACACACAGTGACAAATGCCAGAAAGGTCAGTGTGGGCCTCCCAGAAGTGAGGTTGCCGACATGACCGCACATGATGACCAGGTCAGAAAACCAGCCTGACCCAGCACTCTCGTCTACACTGCAGATCTGTGCGTATGTTGCCAGGCAGCCCGCGGACTCACATAGCAAGGTCAACCCCGCACACCCCACTCCCAGCTCTGGCTTTGGGGCTTAGGTAGGCATGTTCAGGACGACTTGCAGGGGTGCTCTGTCATGGGCATGATGAGGCCACTGGTCCCTCATCAATTTTGGTAGCTTTTATGGTCAGAAGCCAATGCCTGGAACCGCCACTGGAAAGGTCGAGGGAAGGACAGTGTGCAGGATAAGCTTGGGGAGCAGAATCACCCCCATGTGTACTCGGGACACACACCACACAGCCCCTGACCTCATGGAAATTTCCAGCACTCAGGTTTCCTGCCCACAGTCTCCCCCCAATGCCCACAGCCCTGGCCCACGTGGGGTGCCCAGTGCTGCTGGTCAGTCGGGCCAAGGGGGCCGAGGACAGGGGCTGGTGTGGGGTGGACACCAGCAAGGGCCTGTCCCGAGGGTCACCTCGCTGGCTGGAACCCCCTGCTCTCTCAGTCCACGCCTGCAACCTCCGGAGGCTGACCCCTCGCTCTCTGCCCCCTTGGCCCCTCTATCCTGACCCCCACTGGCCCTACCCCTCATACCCTTGACCTGGCGACACCCTCACCCGGTGTTCCAGGTGGAGTACCTAATGGCTCCAGGGCCCCTCCGCGCTCTAAGCCCCGGGCAGTTCCTTAGAGATGCTCGGTGACCCCCTGGTCAGCTTGCACAAAGTGATCAATGACAGAAATGCTCGTGCTGAGACGGGCCACACTTTGCCTTAAGACCCTCCGGGAAAGGGGCACCTGGGAGACACAGTCGGTCGAGCATCCAACTCTTGATTTCGGCTCAGGTCACAACCTTAGACTCCACACTGGACCCGGAGTTCGCTTGGGGTTCTCTCTCCCTTGCTCTCTGCCCCTCCTCCGCCTCAAAAAAGTCCATCCAAACACTCCAAGAAAGAGCCTGGGGGAACGGATGAAACACGGTGGCGAAATGCCGGCTAGCACGGAGCTGGGGCCCCAGGGCAGCCCTCCCCTCCGGCAAGCGCCTCCGTGCCCTGCAAGGGGGTTTTATAGGGGAGCCCCGTGTGGGACAAGGCCCGTGAAGAAGCACCAGGAGCAGAGGAATACCCCCCCCGCGCTCCCAGGGGGGCTGAAGAACGCAAGCCCCTGCCGAGAAGGGGCAGGTGTGGACCCGCGCAGTGGCTGGCCCTGGGCTCGGGTGGTGCGAAGGTCACCAACTCGGGAATGGGGGTGCAGCTCAGCCCACCCCTCCCGCTTCTGGCTTCCATAAGCGGGTCTCCCCTTCGTTGACTTGGCTTTTGCCAGAAAGCTGTGGGGAGTCAGGCTCACATCTGTGACCTGTCCCCACAACCTGGCCCTCCTGTCAACCCGTCCTGTCTCCCTTGCTCTCTCCTCCTCGGCCACCCCCACATGCCCCAGACAGCCTGTTCCCTGGCTCAGTCCTGCCCCAGGTCTGACACAGGTGGAAGACACCCTGCACCACGCCCCTGGTGTTGCCCACGGTGGCCTGTGGCCGGTGATGTGGGCTGGCCAGTAGTCACATGGGGAGTGCCAGGGACATGGCCAGCAGATGGCCCAGCTCCTTCTTTGGCCAGGACAGGGAGTGTGTCAGCATGTGCCAGAGGGGTAAACCCCAGAGGACTGAGCCCAGGGTCACGAAGCCAGGCTGGCCTTCATGGGTGCCGGGGGCACTGGGGACAGCGAGAGATGGTGGCCGGCTCTGTGCATCCCGAACCCCACAGCCTGCTCCGCTGTCCCCAGGTGCCCCCCGCCTCCCCACCCACCAGCTCCCAGGCACAAGCCTCGGCAGCCACTCTGGCCCCTGACCCTGCAGATGTGTTTCCGATCCCCAGGGTCGGCTCAGCTCTGAGGTCCCCCTGTAGGGCCTTCCGACCCTCTCCGCTAGGCCTTTTGGGTTCACTCTGCCTGCAGTGCCCTGGGCTGGCGTCCCCTGGGCCCATGTCTGAGCCCTGCCCACCGCTGCCCTGCCTGGCTCAAAGCCAGGGCTGCCCCCGGAGAGGGGGGTCCTGTCAGTCTCCTGAGGCTCGACGCCACCATCTGTGTCCTGTGTCTTTGGCACCGTGTCTGGCATACAGCTGGTGCTCAGTAAATGTGCCGCAGACCTCCTCACTCATCCTCCCGAGGCAGGCCCTGCGTGTGTGTCTGCCAACCGGGGCCAACAGAGCCCTGGGCGGACAGTGAGACCCCGCGAGTGAGGGAGGGGCGGGAGGAGCCCGGAGACGTGGAGACGGGGGGCCCTGGGGAAGCGGGAGCTCTGAGGCGGTGCCCGGACCCAGAGGGACCCTCGGCAGGGGCTGCCTACCCAGAGAGAGCCGACGGCTGGGCAAGGACCATGGGTTAGGTGAGCGACAGGGGCCAGGTGACAGATGGGTCATCCCTGGGCAGCGTCCCCATGAGGGGAAGTACTCTGTGCCGTGGAAGGCCAAGGGCGCCCGCCATTTCTCCCCGGAACCTCTGCCCTCTGGGTCTCCTCACGCGGCGGTTCCTTGGCCCCGGCGCTCCTCCCTGCCGTGCAGCCTTCAAGGCCCCCGGCCACTCACCTGAGAGGAGGAGGGCCAGGGGCGCCTCAGGGACCCAAGGAAGTGAGGCTGGGTGATGCTGGGCCCAGGTGGGTGCTGCTGGTTGCGGGGTCAGGTCCGTCCTCCTCCCCGCACCAGGCCGCTGCCGCCATTGCCGCCATTGCCATTCTCCTTCCCTCAGGTGCCTCCTCTCCCACCTGACTTGACTTGAATTGAATTCTGCATTTCTCCAGGCATTTTAAAAATCAGGGAGCTGACATTTTTGATGTTTTTTTTTTTTTTTTCTTTCTCTCAAGTACTGAGGTAAGGGATTTGTGTGAGGCCCCAAGAAGCTGCCCCGGGGCAGCAGGACCCGCCCCCACCACAGCCAGGCCCTCCCTCAGTGGGGGGACTGGCCCTGGCCCCTTCCAGGTGAGGTAAGAATCAGGGTCCCAGCTGCCACCTGGCTAGTGCTAAGGGACCTTCATCCCATCTGTGTGACAGCGGGTGCCAGGGCCAATCCAGCAGGAGGCTGATCCAGGGGGCTGGTCAGGCCTGGCCTTGAACAGAGCTTTTGGGGGGCATGGGGGACAGGACCCTGCTGAGCCCATCGAAGAATGCTGACCCAGGGGAACTGGAAATAACAACTCCGGATCCAGCCGCGTCAGCACCTTCGCCTGGACACTGCACCTGCTGTCAACACCACCCTTTCCCAGGAGGGAGCGCTGTGTTGTGCAAGATGCCGTTTCCGGCCCCACAAACACTAGGCTGTGTCCTCACCCAGTCCTAATCACATGGCCCTAACCACATCCGCCCAAGGCAAGGGCATCTAGAGCCCAAACTCCTTGCACTAGAAGATCCCTTCTTCACCAACACTCTCTGTCACACCCTCCTCACACCCTCCTCAACGTCCTACACTCTGCTCCACCTCCTCACCTCAACCTCCTCACAACTCCTCATATACTCCTCACATGCCTCACACCTCCTCACACCCTCCTCTACCTCCTCACATATTCTTCCACCTCCTCATACCTCCCATACACTCCTCATACCTCCTCACACCTCATACCCTCCTCATATACTCCTCACACCTCCTCACACCCTCCTCTACCACCACACATCTCTTCAATCTCCTCCCACGCCCTCCCAATTGCTTCCAATATCCTCCTCATACCCCTTCATATACTCTTCATGTCTCCTCACACCCTCCTTTCACCTCATGCCACCTGACTTCTTCACACCCTCCTCAACTTCCTCATACCCCCTCACACCTTTTCACATCCACCTCCTACTCCTCCTCCTCACGACGCCCTCCTCACATCCTTCTCAACCTCCTCATATACTCCTCACACCCCCTCACATCACCTCACACTTCACACTTCTGCACACCCTCCTCACCCATCATTTCACTCTCCTTAACCCTCCTCACACCCCGTCACAGATCAAATCTTGGCAACTATTCTCCACCCCAGGCAGCCTCTCCCAGCTCCTGCACTCTTCTGGAGGTGGAAGTGGCATCCCAACACTACTGTAGCCAGGATGAGGATCTATTCTTGTTACTGTAGTATTTGGAAGGGCTTCCTGGAGGAAGTAACATTTTACTGAAGTCTGAAGGTTAAATCCATGGGGGTTTAGGAAAGAGCGTTCCAGCTGTGGGCACGGTGTGCTCAGGCATGGACTATGAATGGTTCCGGTTGTAGATGTGTGGAGGTGAGGATACAGGGACAAACGGTGAGGGCCTAGAGCAGCTGGGACATGGGGAG